TAATGACATTATAGTGACTCACTGTTTAAGCCGAGCAGAGCTTTGTTTCAAATCAAATGACGGCGAGTCTTTCTCTGAGAGCTACGCTTGAGTGTTTGATTGGTCAGGTTGATGTATGCTCGCGTGACAAAGTCAATGAAAGACGTATAATCTGAGTCCAGCATGTCTGCTTGAAAGCAAAGCATGTCTGTGCATGAGGGCAGCAGCTAAATCACTTAAGCGAGAGTGGAGAGTGATATAAAACATTTGACGTGAAATGGACGGCGGGCTTTGAACCAGCAGCCAAGACCATCAGCCACGGGGGTGAGCGGAAGGGGAGGAGAAGAAGTGAAAGAAGTAAACAAGGAGAAAAAAGGCAGTGTTACGTGGAAACGCCGAGGTCGATGCGGTCGTCAAAAGTAAATAATTTTAGAACAAGATCATTAGAAATAATTTGAATTCCAATTTATTTTGCACTGCTTTAAAGTTTTATGTTATTTTCAAAAGTGCGTTTCTCTTCTTCTCTTCTTCCACTGAATTAAAACATGTTAAAGAATCCAAGCCAAACCAACAACTCAGGTTTGAGCATGTGTGTATGTGTGTGTGTGTGTCTGCATCTTTGTGTACAGATTTACTGCATATGTGCAACTGTAATAAGCATTATGGTGCTGGCAAGTTTGAGGATCGTCTGTCCTGATAAATCCAGCGAGAATGTAAACCTGGGTCTCTCCTTGAACATACAACAGAACAGCTGCTTGCATTTGCAAAACACACACGTGCACACACGCACACATGCATGCATGCACACGCACGCACATGCACACACACACACACACACACACACACACACACACACACACACACAAAGAAAGCCCACAGACAGACATCCGTTTGCTGTTTTAGGATCAAATTAGAGTTGCAGGAATTTCACACTGATGGTAGATAGGAGTTAGTTCACCTGCTCCAGTCTGTTCTAATGACAGATGAAAGACTGACTTAGCGAGATTAGATCTGGCCTCACATTCTCTGTGGAAAGGCCGAAGCCTGCTCACAAAACATACAGTAATCCGGACGATGACTGACGCGTGAATTCACGCCGTACAGTGTGAAAAACCTCGCCGCTCTCTCCCTGACAAAAGATCCGATGACATCTCCTGCTCTGATATGGATGATGAAATATCAAAATATGTTCACAGCAATACACGCTGCATCCTGTGAAATATGTCAGGACACATATACACTGCAGCCATCGGCCACAGACAGACACACACACACACGTCATAACGGCAGCTCACACATGGTGACCCATTGCTGAAGCCAGACGGAATTCATGCGCTCGTTTGAAGGCGCCACTGAAAAAACATCCTTCCTTTCACAAACATTTCTCACTATACACACACACACACACACGCACTCACACACACACACACACACACACACACACACACACACATACAAGTACACACACATACACAACCCAGCAAGATAATGACAGTCTAATACTGGAGTGTACTCTACTAAAGCCCTTAAACACACTTTGGAGTCTGTATAAACAAAGACAACTGCTCTTATGCTCGCTCACTCTCTCTCCCTTTCTCTCTCTCACACACACACACACACACACATAGAAAAGAAACTAAGCTAAGTGGAAAATGCTGCATCAAGGCGTCTTGTTAAAGAAAACAAAGTATGAAATATTCAGCGAAGGTGCTCCTTCCACATCTTGACTCAGAGCTCAGAGTCAAAGCCAACAACACTCAGTCCAAACACCTCTCTCACCGCACTCTGCATCTTAAATCTAACTGTGTGTTTCATCACTTCAATAATCATTTGTGGTTTTAGCTGAATTTCGACATGTTTGTTTGTTTTAGGGAAACAGCAACATGGACAATTATTCCATTTTCAGGACACTAAGGGGTCACTGAATCAGCTCCCAGAATAACAGTTTTATTTCACTACAGCTCATTTAAATAAAAATCTACACTCCATTTAATAAGAAATCAACAACAACCAAACTCCTTGTGTATGAAGTCATCAGATAAAATCTTACCAAATGGGTTTTTGGGCCCAGTATGTGTGTGTGTGTGTGTGTGTGTGTGTGTGTGTGTGTGTGTGTGTGTGTGTGTGTGTGTGTGTGTGTGTGTGACATGTAACCACTTGAGAAACAAGTTTAGACATCTGCATCTATCTGTTTTAGCTGGCTGCAGCACTGTAAATATGTTTTCATCTTTTCTCGCTATCTGTCTGTACGGTGACCTAACCCCATGCAGTCATCTATCTGTTAACACAGAGGGCCTGCAGAGCGAGCTGCGCGCTGGGGCCCCCGACGGCTGCACGCGGGGACTGAGGGGGCCTGTTGGTGCAGCTGTCCCACTCCAGGGTAACATAAGACCTTATTAGAGTCCATTAGACCTCTCTGAAACTAATAAGAGATTGTCAAATACATCCAAACATTCACACAATTCACAGAGGGACAGGAAGTGAAAGGAGGGCGGTAGGAAGGGGGACAGGGGTCTGCCATTTGTCTACATAATGTCGCATTCTTGGATCTACAACTTTTCTCCTTTCAAAGTAGGGAGGTGAAGGAAATATTTGTGGATTGAAGCTGCTATTCGTGTAGACTATTAAATGCTATGCAATTAATTTATTTGTGTCTTAAATTTATTAATATAATTTGGATTCAGATTGTTAAATGTAGACATATAACGCATATTTACAGTGATAAATTATTCTAATGACTTTTAAGGCTCTTTAGGACCCCTTTTCACAAAAAAAAAACAAGCTTCAGAAGTAGATGATTGACGCCCAGTGTCTGTTTTTAAAAAGAATATTTATATCTCATTCTAATCCTTGTTTTTGCTGTCATTGTTTTGTCTAGGATTTTACATCATCTCCCCTAACCTGTTTACATTTTGCACATATGAGGTTTTCATCTGACAGCTGCGACAAAGTTTCTGCTCGCATCTGGACAGTGAGGCAGGCTCATCTGGAGTCCACAGCCCCAGAAAAAGAGCTTCCCTCTGCCCTGACAGCAGGGGCTTGACCTGGGAGACAGCCTTTGATCTTTAATTAACACTGGGTCTGACTCTGTGGAGGAGCGAGCTGATGAACATGGAAGCATTTGGGAGCAGCTACAATAGCTAGGACTACTTGAGCTAAAGACAGCCCGCATTTTTTTTTTTTTTTTTTTTCTTTAAACCTCCACAACACAGTTTTAACTTTAAGTCATCGTGGAGCGGCCGCAGTGCAGAGGTGGCTGCTTTCAAACAGATGCTGTGTCTGGCTTCTTACACAGAGCGAGGAGCTCTGTGAAACTGAGAAAAGAGGAGCACATATAGAAAGGACATGGACCACAGCATCCTGCCACAACAAAGACAAAGTGAGGTTTCATGGCACATGCAGCTGGTGCTTCTGTCTCCTTTGCCCAAGCCGCTGGGAGCAGTTTTCTCTTGGTCAAACAGAACATGCAGAAATGCAAACCAGAAGAGAATGAAGTAAGCAAATATACATACTGCATCGATTATAATTTTATGTAACATACCATATGCATTGTGGCTTTTAAATATAAAAATGAATGTAAAGCAATGTAGGCTGTTAATGTTTCTGTGAAAAGCTGTTGCGTGGGACAAGCTACTGTGCAGATGCAAAAATTCTTGTTGCAGAGAAACACTAATGAAATAGTGGAAAGTGTAACTGACATAAAGCTGTGACATAGAAACCACACACAGGAAATATAACTTTTCCTGAAATGGTCTAGCTGTGTTTTGTCTGTGTTCACACATATATGAATCCCTTTATAAAGAAAAGGTTTAAAATGGGTTGGAAAATACTCTTTTGTCAAGTTTATAACCAACTATACAGTTACTTTAAAAGCAGACTGGGAAGCTCCTTTATACTGTATCCTGAGCTGAAAGCTTCATTATGATATTTAACCTCTGAACCGGATGGTTGCTTGATCCCAAAGGGGATATAACAGTTGTCATAGGGCTATCATTTACTTACTGTTTAAGCTCTTAGGTGAAATGCTGTGAGGAGAAACAAGGACAAAGGACAATAGCAATAAACAAATTGTCCGTATCTGCAGGTAAAGCCCTTGGGTAAGGGATGTTTCACAGACATCAGTCGGATAGATCTGCAGCACCAGGAGCCATGCAGAGAATTCTCCAGTGACTTCACTCATTGTGACATTTTGATTCTCTCCAACAACCAACCGGCAAAACCTCAAATCCCCAGAAAACCATGTGTGATGATGATGATGTAGCACATGGAAAGAAAGTCAACAGTCAGGATGGACTGAAAATTAAAGGCAGCCAGACATATACTGTACTTTCTGACTTTTTCAACCACCTCCAAGGCGACAACAGACTTTGGGGCGGGTATCGAGTATCTCCAGACTCCAGTGTCTACCCACTCATGCCTCCACCAACACCCACAACCATCACCACAGCTATTCCATTATTCACCATCCACTCCGGCCCACTCCTTTCTTCTGCATTATCAGTCCCATCCTCGCTTCTCTGGTTAAGATCTTCCCATAGCTAATGATGTGTCACAGAGAAGATTACTGTTGAACTACTGAACACGGCGACCTGCGGCTCAAAGACCTGGATAACGCAGCACACACATGCGTGGAAATAGAAGTGAACAACTGCAGACTTATCCACCAACACTCTTGGGATTTTTGAATTTGTTTGAAGGCATCATGCATACGGAAAAAGCTCAGACGCACACAAACATACACACACACACACACACACGCATACATCAAGGTAGGCCATTTGACATCAAAGGTTCTGGGCTGACAGATATGAAGTGTCAGAGTCTTCACATCAAACACTTCACTTCTGCAGCCCTGCCAAACTTTGCATTGTATCAGACACAGTATTATAAATAAGGATAGGAATTCAAGCTGTAGCTTCCACTAAGAAATAAATACAAAGGAGAAATGAGATATCACACAAGAAGAAAGGAAGCTGATGACAAGGAAAGCGTGAGATAAAATGATAGAGGATGTTTCTTACTTTGGCAGGTGTTGCTTCTCTCCTCGTACCCCGAGTTACATAGACACTTCCCAATAGGCACCAGCCACTCCCCCTCTGTGCTGCAGTACATTCGTGGCGGCTCCTCCTCTTTGGAGTGATTGACACATGAGCCTTTGACCTCCACCAGCGACTGGGAGTCCATGGGCACAGTATCAGGGAAGGAGGCCAGATTCCTCACAGTGTACGGGCACTTCTTGAAGTAAACCCTCACTGAAACTAAAGCTACGCAGGCGCCCACGTCCTGGAACGCTAGGTAGAAGCCCTTCTTGGTCATAGGACCCACTTCGCGCACCTCAGTGTTGAGCTTGAGGATGCGATCGCCGAGGTCCATTTGGGTGAAACTCTCATCGGCGGCAATGGTGTCGATCTTAGAGAACTGGTGCTCTCTGAAGTGGCTGCCCTGGTCGTCGTCTGTCTCCAGGTAGAGGAGGTTGAACGTCTCCTTGCAGGTGCCCAGGACCAACGGGATGGAGTTGCAGTCCCTCAGGGTGAACTTCAGCTCCACGTAGATCTTCTGGGCTGACTGGCGAGGGATCCAGTTGGTGCGAAGCCAGTTGTTCTGGCTGTACTCCATCACGTTGCAGACCTGGAAGGTCCTGATGGGAGTGTAGTGCTCATCCACCCCACTGATCTCTTCCCACTGAAAAAGAAGGAGAGTCGGAAGAGAGAGGCAGAGGGCAGGAGAGCGAGAGAACCAAATACAGGAGAAATAAAGAGGGCAGATTAAAGGGGAAAAACAGAGAGGAAAAGAGAGAGAGAAGCACAGCGAGGGGTTGTCAAAGAAGCAGGCAGAGTTGTAAGAGCAAAACAGGAAATTTAAGAAATGATAGGAGGGTGAAGGCAAAGGAAGAATGGAAGGGTAGGAAAAAGAAAGATATTTAAAAGAGATGAAGAGAAAGTATAGAGAGGAAGAGATAAGGAAGGCAGAGAACAAGAGAATGAAAAAGAAGAATGTTTTGGGTGACAAGAAAGGCGAGCAAAGAAATTTGAGGAAAGTGGAAGAGGAAGGAATAGGAAGGAGGGAATACGAGGAAAAGAGGGGAAGATAACAGAGAGAAAAATAAAGTTATATCCACCCTGTAAGCATTTACTGATGAATTATTTAGATTCAGAGTCACTCTTGCTGAATACTAAGCATCTAATAAACACTTAAGGGTGAAAAATCACACTACCAGATCTCTTGTAAATTACTCAAATTAATTAAAAGCAAACTTGCTGCCTTAGCCAAATTTCCTAGATTAGGGCTCTGTGAAAATATCTCAGAGAAAAAAACCACGAAGTGTGATTTCCCGTCTCAATACTCCTAAATTTGTGGGAAGCTGTTTAATTGCTGTTAAATATTAACAAAATCTCATAGCGTTTTTTTTCCACCCTTATACTAACATGTTTTTCTCTACAAGTGAGGACTTTCAAGCTGCAGTCTTGGTTATTTGCATCACAGTACTACTGCTACGAAAGGAAACGTGCTCAATCCACTATGAAACAAAAGAAACTACGAAGTACAGACAGATGTGAGTGTATACCAGGAACGTTCGTGTCTATCTTACATTTTCCCTCCACTGGGAGAAAGCAATGAGAGAGGAGAGGAGAAAAAGAAAGCGGGGGTCATTCCTTTTTGAATTCAACACAGCGGGAAGACTCATTGATCATACGCTTTGGCTTCGCTGTCCAGGCAGATCAACAGTGAATCAGAGCAATGATGAATGGGCAAACACCTGAAACACTGGGCTCATTGTGGTTAAAATGACAGTCATTAGAAGGAATGGGCGTAAATGTGTAAATGGATGCTTATCCTATTTATTTATTTTTCTCTCCGTGAAATTCAGAATGGATGTATGCCTGAATGAGCAGAGCTTTCTTCAGACAGAGAGAGAGAGAGAGAGGACGAGAGGGAGGGAGATAGAGAGAAAGAGAGAAACTTTGTGGGTAAGAGGAGACTGAATTAACGCTCCTTTCACACAAGAACTGATGGAAACATAAACCCTCACACACATATACACTCACATAAGGCTCATGTGAAGTGTTTAAAGTCCCATAGCAGGCGGACACAGCAGGTGCTTTCAGCCTGAACACAGAAATTAATGACGAGCTAAGAAAGTCTAGGTTCTCTATTACATGTTTTTGTGTGCCTGTGTGTGTGTGTGTGTGTGTGTGTGTGTGTGTGTGTGTGTGTGTGTGTGTGTGTGTGTGTGTGTGTGTGTGGGAGTAAAGCACATCTATGAGCGCCCGGTGTTCAAGGAGCTCTCAGGCTGAAGGATGGCCACTTGTTTTTCATCTCACAGTAAAGTTAATGAAACACCCCTGAGAGGGAGAGAAAACAGCAAAAAGAAGAAGAAGAAGAAGAAGAAGAAGAAGAAGAAGAAGAAAAAGAAGAAGAGGAATAAGAAGAAGAAGAAGGGAGAGGAAAAGGGAGAGAAAATTCGAGAGGAGAGATTCCGTTGGTGTTTAGTCTCCCCCGTCATGCTTTCCTTGGCGTCACCTCATTCATCAGAATGTAGTCCGAGCTCTCTATAGGCCTAACAATAACACGGGTAAGTAGACAGAAGTGAGTGGGACTAAATATAGAGAGGTAAAGCTGAACTTAACATTTCACCCCACTTTACTAACAAGTGTAATAGCTTGACTTTAAATGTAAGAGTAAAAATGAAGTGATGACATGCAAAAAGGTACGCTGACAGACTGCGACACAACAGAAAGCCACTGAGGCACTAAGATTAGTGGATCTGTTGACATTACGTTTGATAAGACAACATCCTCGCTTGAACATAATGAAAAAGACTGTAACCCGCTCAGCTTCAGATTGATATATATATGTCATAGTTAAACAGTGTCTTTCTTCCAGGATTAAAAGCAGCACAACCGGGGATGTAACTTTTTGAGCAGATGTGATCTGTCACTGCAGTTTGCTTAAAAATACTCAATGAAAATGTAACCCACTAAAAATACTCTGCACAGAAATAGAAAGGTTCACATTTGGTCCAAAAATACATGAAAATAAGCCACTCGTGTCAGTGAAGGTGCTGATACTGAAAACCTTAACACACAAAGCTGAAATGTGTGTAAAAAACAATGTTAGTACATTACAGCTTATCTTTGGTTGCAACTCTGTCTCACAGAAATGACATTTTCCATCAACATGATGAGAAACATACTGAACTCTTTAAATGAATGTCTCCGTAAAGTCGCAAAATGTTTGTATTTCATTTGTTTTCCCTACAATAAATTCTTGTGGCACTGCGCCACTAATATGTTTATGGTTATTTTGGGGAACTTAGAGAAGATGAGGGAAACGTCTTAGTCTTTTTTTGAGATGCTGAAAAAACCTCACTGACACTTTTTCTATATTTGAGCAAAACCACAATCTTTTCCTGAACCTTAACCAAACTTTTTTTTTAGGAGGCTTAACATGTGCAAGCTCGGATTGTCTTTGCACTTTGTTGTTCTAGACAAGGATGTGGTACATCCTCGTACAATTACATTACTGTTATTTTAGAATGAACTTAGAAAAATCATATTAGTAAATGTAACTTCTGAGAGACATGGTGGTTTGTCAGCACACCTTTTGGTTTCCTGAGAAAATGTACAATAATGTTACAGGTTACTGCTCCTCCTCGCCGTACCACGCATTCGGAGCAAATAGTAGTTTGGTCATGTAAAAAAAAAAACAAAGATTACAGCTGCTTGTGAAGCTGCTTGTCTTTGTGGATTTCTATTTACCTCTCTGTGATCTAGGATCTAATGAAAAACCTAAGAGGATGGAGTAAATGCAAGTGGAGCAGACGTCTTCTCTGTCTCATTGGTTCAAGAGCTTCTCTACTTACTGAGCAAATGATTGTTTCATTTCATTGTGGCACATTTAAAAAAAAAAAAGTGGCCTTGATAGGTGGAGGGCATGCATGTGTGTGTCTGGTTGTTTGCTAAGTATGTGTGCTGTACATATACTTACATACAGTAAACTGAGCAAGCAAATGTGTGTGTGTGTGTGTGTGAATACGGACGATGTTCCACTCACTTTCCCGTTTCTATGAACATGTTGTGCGTTTGCGTTTGTGTTTGTGAATGTGTGTGTTTGTGTACTACTCAGCGGTTGTATGCCGATGTCTGTGTGAGCTGCGGCCTTTATGTCGTATTCTTTTATGTCCTTTCATGTCACGCACAATGATACAAACTGGGCTGAAGCGGCTGCGAGTGATGGCTCTCTGCTTTTAAGCTGTCTGATGGGGAGGGGCCTGAAGTTTGCCAAACACAAACACGCACAGGGTTCAGAATCAAACCCAGGTGTGCATGTGTCTGCATGTGTGTGTGTGTGTGTGTGTGTGTGTGTGTGTGTGTGTATGTGTGTTGGGTATGCTATATCCTCTTCCAGAGTAGATGACTCGATTTGAACGAGTCTCTGCCAAAGTAAATGAGACCTCCGCTATGATGTGAGGATCCCACTCTGGAGGATAGCATCTATTACACAGAGTTACCCTCCTCATCCCCTTCCCCGAAGATTACATCATATGAATGAAGTCCTCCAACCTTGAATCACTCTCCCGGGTTTGTTAGCCAAGGCTTGTTTTATCTGTCCTTCACTTGACAAGGAGCAAGAGCGAGTGAGGAAATAAAGAGAGAATGCCTTAACATCTATCTCCAGATCTGGCAGTGGATTAGTGAGGGGAGTGTGACACGCTCTGTGGATCTCTGGAAGTGTGTATAAGTCTTAGCAGCCACCTCTTGGAAGCTGTGACCGACTACAGACACAAGATCAGAGCTCTAGTGTGATCTGGGCACTTTTTCCATGGGGAAAGCATATTGCCAGACAAGAGCAACAGCGTCGAACAATTCTGCAAAACTCCGGATTACATTAATTGACAATAAAAAAAACGACCACCTCTTCCTTTCTGCAACTCCCACTGAGAATGAGTGGAACTGTTTGTGTGTCAACCAGGATAAATAAAGGTCTAAAATGAGCCGCCACCCCCTTGTTTCTCTGCAGGGGGGCGTAACTCACCTCTCCCTGCCCTCTAATTGATATATAACAACACTAGGACCCTACAGCAGTCCCTGTGACCTCTGACCCCCCACAACCCCTGGTGGTCACAGCCGGGGCACAGTTTGGTGTGATCTAGCCCCTGGTTTCTCTGATCTGTGCTGTAGGTAGGTGTGGCAGCTAAAGGGACAGTAAAATGGAGTGTAGTAACTTGATCCTCTCAAGACATTAAAACTACTGCAACAGGCACGTCTCAGAATCACACAGTCAGCATGCCAGTTCACCCACTTCAAAGACATGGAGGTCAATGGGAGTTAATGGACCAGTAAATGGAACAGTGTAGGGTAACAATGCATTTAGCCCAAGACTAGTTGTGTTGTAGGAAACAAGATTGAGAGAGAGTATCCTCTATTCCTATTTCTATGTGTAACAATAATGGCTTTATTTTATTTTACTTTAATTTTATTTTTATTCTATTTTATTTGTCAACAAGGTCAATGATAGGGTTTTTTTTCTGCCCTACTGAACTCTATTTTAGTGATGTCCCTCCATCAGCAATTCATATAACAACAATAATTGAGAGTAACTAGATCCAGGTTGCAAAAATAAAATAAAATAAAATAATATGAAATAAAATAAAATAATAAAAAGGACATGAAATTAATTAATGAGGCTTTATAATAAAAATCATGGGAAAAGCAAAACTCATATATTGCGTATTTACAATTGTCTGTTATACCTCTACAACTAAAAACTGGGGCGTCCACAACAAGTGTGGAGCCAGCTTACGTTTTGGGCTCCATAGAGGTCGCAGGGGTCACAGACACGACAACTGCAGCATATCAGTCAGAGGACATTTCATCAGCCGGTCTTACCAAAGGGAAACCTGAATACACTCTTCATACCTCCACATCTTCCTCAATCCCCCTGTTTTTGAACAAGCCCCAAGCCTCGCCGTGTTAATCCTCGTCTATGCTTTGCTCAAGGACACATCAACAGCAATTGCTGAAGTATAATGGAAATAAGAGGGCCTACGATAGTCAACCAATGCTGGATTAGGGGGATAATATTGAGGTCTAATATTTTTAATTGTTTTGGGTATCATTAGTGTATAATTGGGGTGTATTCCTTGTACTGAAGGGATATTTGATATAGTTATAGATAAATATGTTTTCATGGTGTACATTTTGCACTGGCTTGTCTCACCAAGAAGAAAGCAACTATAACACACTTTATACTTCCTCCTCCTCTTCCTCCTCTCTGGTCCCTTGCCTCGCCCTGTTAATCCTCGTTTATGGATGGACTTTTCTCTGTACTCTCTCACTTTCTGTGGGTTGGGGTGGGGTGGGTTGGGGTGGGGTGGGGGCAGTGTGTGCTGGTAAGGCTGATTTCACAGATGGGATGGCAGCAGAGCACGGGGGGCTTTAAGAGCCCTTGGGTGACTGAAGAAGTTGAAACAGCAGTCTCTACTCTAAGAGCAAAAAAAAAAAAAAAAAAGGCTGGCTGACTGAAGTGGTGGACCTCGTCCAAAATATAAAAAGCCATGCCATTACACATGCCCCCACCCCCTCTCCTTTTCCAGACCTGAGAATTGGAATGTGAGATGTGAGATGTGCATGTGTGTGGGTGTGTGTAAATATTTCTCATTATTCCTGACAGTAAATGCAGAGTGCACTCACTGTGACCACTGGCTTTTTTCTATAGATGTCAAGCTTCTTCATTGTGACACAAAAGTTCAGTCAGTGCCCATTGTTACTTAGCTTATAAAAGACTCCTGTGGAGGGCAGAAGCCGTAACATGGAAAAAACAATTGCAGGGAAGACATTTCACTGCATATGCAATTGTACATTTTCTTTTTGTTTTTCCTCTGAATGCTGATTGAGCAGTCCCATTCATTCCATCTAATACAATTTCTTCCTGTAAAATAAGCCTTTGTTTTATCAAATCTGACATAAACTTATTTTAATTCAATCATCAAAAAAGCTGCTGTTGAAAATGTTGCAAAATAAGTGACAGCATTTGCTGAACTGCAGGAAATGTGTGATTTTCATTGACTAACTGTCAACATTTTAAATATTTTAATATTTCAGCATTTCAGTCGAACATATCAATTTGCTGGTTTTTCCTGTGTGTTGGCAAAAACTTTTTTTCTTTAAAACAATCAAGTCAATACACAACAGCCCTGGCGAAAATAGGAATGCTGTTGTATCCCCTGTTGGGTCCTATGAAAAATGGACTTCACTTTGAATGTGCCCATTAATTCTATTTTGTATGCAGAGCCAGCGTCTGGGGTGTTGGTTTGTTACTGAAGAATGCTTTCAAAGCACGCAAGAATGTAATCTTTAACACTCTTTAGTCTTGTGAAGGGCTAAGCCCCCTGGACACTGCTCAGCAATCAGCCTGCCTCCCAGACAGATAAAAGTATATCTGGATCACATACACACACACACACACACACACACACACACACACACACACACACACACAGACACAGACACACACGCAGACACAGACACACACAGACACAGACACACACGCAGACACACACACACACAAACTCGTTGGTCGGTATAGCTCCAGAGAGAACATCCTGGGGAGGCTAAGCTCTTAATTTGTTCTGACCGGAGCACGTTGTGTCTCGGTAGGCCAGTAGCAGCGGCCTCTCCATCAATGTGAATGACTGTTTGTGTGTGTGTGTGTGTGTGTGTGTGTGTGTGTGTGAGGGCTCAGTGCCACTGCCACATTATGAGAAATCATTTGTGAGCAGCAGTCTCCCAGGGCAGGCTGCTTATCGGAGCGCAGTCAGTGGATGACGTGAGTAATTACAGATGATTCACCTTGAGGACTTGATCATCAGCAATCTCTCTCTCTCTCTCTCTCTCTGTCTCTCATCCTTTCCTGTCCTTCCCTCTCTCCTCCTCCTCATCCTCCTCTCTTTCTTTCTTCCTCTCCCTCTCTCTCTTCATCCCTTTTGCCTATCTCTCCCTCTGTGTCTTCCTCTTTTTGATCTTCTTTTTCTATCCTCTCTCTTTCTCTCTGGAGTCATTTTCATTTAAAAGTGACATTGGCTCCCATTCCTGCAGCATTTACTGTACAATCGCATGCTTTTCCTCTGAACTTGTTCAAAGCAAATAACTTGAAATAAAGCAGACCTCGCTGCACACACTGCACAACCTCCAACACACATTCCAATGTCCAGCGCTGGATCAAGTCCCCGATACCGGTGCACATTTTCCTACTTGCTCACACGTGAATAACTTCTATCAGCACAACATAAATCTCTCCCTTCAAATGGTCACGCAATTGTCCTGTAGCTTGCAATTGTCTTTGGACTAAATGCATTCTTAAACAGCCTCCAGTTTTTTCCTTTGAGCCATTTTTTCGTTGTGGTTCAACCTCATGAAGAAACTCCGAGCATTTTGACAGTGCCAGCGCTTTACATGGCCGAGGGAAACAAGGTTTGGCAGCTCCACGGAACAAATGACTGGATTACCTTAAGCCACTGCCAAGGAGTAATTCTAACACTTAATAAAGGAAAAACGAGGAAGTGTGCTGTGTGTGCATGTATGTGTGTGCGCATGCGTGTGTGTCTGTGTGTGTGTGTGTGTGTGTGTGTGTGTGTGTGTGTGTGTGTGTCAGTGGGCCAGCCCCGAGGCACAGTAGTCTAACTAGTTAAGCAAATAAACACTGAGTGAGAGCTCACTGGAGGGACATTGGTAGCAGAGAGAAGCTGATAAATGGGGCTGCAGAGAGAAGTATGGCACGATGCTGCTGCAACATTGCTGGTTTGTTTTTATTAAAGCGGTGTAATTCTCATGGTTGGAAAACGTTAGAAAGTGCAGCACGAATAATTGATACACGTAGAACTACAGGAAGGGTATGGAGGTAAAAGTTGAAGGGGTTTGTGTTAAAAGACTAATAACTAATAACTGTAGTTATGTGTATGTGACAGACGGAATGAGGCGCACACTGTCAATTAGGAAAGAATGGATTAACGAGTGAAAAATCAAAAAATGGAATTACAATGTTTACATGCAACAGCAGTAAAATGATGTCTAGTGTTGATGCGATATTTACTAAAAAAGGGGCTCGGCCTATCGACATTCTTATGTGGATGCTTTTGTGCCTACAACATAAAATCCTTTAATGCCTTAATCTTTCTTTAAACACACGCACACTCAAATACTCCAACTCCCGCACACGCATGCAGTACATTTTCCTTTAAGTGTCTTGACCATATGGCAAGCTCCAAATGCTTAACCTTTAACCTGCGAGAGGGAGAATGGACAAAAAAAATGTCTAAAGAAAAGTGGGTTAATCTGCACTTGGCTCATTGAGTCAACATGACACAGTGGGAACCACAGGAGTTTGAAAATCCTGATTTCATGTGGTGCGGGGCTGAAGCCCGCGTCCAGTTCATTTCGGCGTGTCCGTCTCCCAAATGTAATGCAAATGAAAACATGATGTGGGTAAATATAGAGATAGAAAATACTCACCCCATGCGATGGGTAGGAAATCCATCCTAACTCCCCCTGGCTTGCTTTAGAGTCTAACAGGTTGACTGTGGTGAGGAAGAGAAAGAGAGAGGGAAAACAAAGAGAACATATGAGTGTCTAGTTCTTGTTAGCCCCAATTAGCCCTTATCTAATCCCACAGAAGGGATCACCAACCTCAAGCACTGATCATGACTCTATTTACTCAGCTGCCACACACACACACATACACACACACACACACACACCACATATCCTATGTACACCAACAGAGCGAGCTGGCTGTCTTGTCTTGCCGTGTAAAGCTTCAAAGCAGAAGTTGGCTGGTCAAACTGGCTACACCACACAGATATCCTGAAGAGGTACGGATCTAAAGTAGAGCCAACAGTTCAAAAACCAACCACAACAGGAAGTGTTTGTTTTCTAAGGCTCATCCTTTTGACCCATCTGAACCCCCCCACCCCCGTTCCATGTAGCAACACATCCACCCATGGTGATTGGACTGTACCCAGGTGAAACAAAAAAAAAAAAAGCATCAAATCTAAATTCAGATACAACTGCCAGATTCAGAGGTGGTCAGAAATTCAATTGGCCACTCTGAGAACAAACTCTAAATCCATTTATAATGAACGGAAATACAATTTTATGTGTGTGTCCTGCCAAGAATTCACTCTTCTCAAACAGAAAACCAAGCAGCCGAGAGGGAGATTCATGTCTAATAGAAGGAGTTTGACAGAGAACAAATAAGACAAGGAACTCCATTAGCATGATGGTGCAATTTGAGGCTTTGAGTTAGCGATGGGAGTTTCAAATGGTGAATATTTGGTGCCAAATGGGACTTTTGTGCACACGTGAACGGATTCTTTTCACCGACCCGTGATGTGAACATGTCAGCGAGATCAACTCTGACGTACAGCATCTTCCTCAAGCGCAGAAAAATAAGATACAACGTTTTCTATTCTTAGTACATACACATGGCTCTGGTGTGAATTATTGTCATCGAGTACACCTGTCAGTACGGGCCATGACATACTGACAGATGGGCCATGACTGGGGAATGTGGAGGCTGCCTTATGCTCTATAGATTCCCCACTAGTTCTGTAGTGGTTAGTAACACTAGTGCCAGAACATGGAGGACAACAAGACTTGTTGTCCCTCCGCTCTCAGGGTCTATGGTAATAAAGTGATAACGTCTAAGTCAGGTATAACGTTGGCGATAATGTCCTTTTAATCCAATCATAATCAACCACTGTGTCATTCAAATGAAATCTAAGTGATGAGTATGAATTGAGTGTCTGACTATTTGTTCGCCTGACTGCACATCCCGAGTGCAACAGCTGTCCTAGTGAAAAACATAAAGGTCTGTAAAAGTCGCCACCCATTTGTCCTTCATTTCAAATGTAAGAACAAGCACAAAATGTTCTTCATAAGAGCGCCGCGCACTGGTGTTTGCACTTGTTGGTGGACCACTGTGCTGACAAAAAAAAAAAAAAAAAAAAAAAGGATTGAAAAGCTGCTACCATTTTGATCTGGAAGTACCGCGACAGTCAGGAATGTATCTTACTGTATTTCAGTTGTGCAACAACAGTAGGCTAGGCTCAGGTGACATGACATGAAAAACATTCCATCAGCCAAAGCTGATTAGTAACACAAATCAGAGACAAAATATGCTACAACAGCTTGTGAGTATGTTCACGTCGAGTAAAACAATAGAAAGTAATGGCTTATGTAGCTACAATAAACTAATGGAAATAACTTGAAAATATTTATTACTTAAATTAATTAAATTTTAAGATCAATAATTAATCTTTTTTTTTCAGAGGAACCAAGAAAACTAATATGATGTATTACTTGTTGTGTGAATGAGAAGCTACTAAGAGGAAACAAACAGATAAAACCAGTGTGCTCGAGTGTGAGAAATGGTGATACAACCCTGGTAAATATGTGTTGTTCCTTCTTTGTTGTTCATTGTTTATTTATTCATTCATTTTTTGCTTTGTTTTTTTTTCAATATATCTCTTTTGGTATTGAGCAAAAAAAAAAAAAAAAAAAAAAAGACTAAACTTTCTAAAACAGCCTTTTTACAAAGCCTCTTTTTTGGGTTGATATATTTAAAATGATTTTAGAGAGAATTATTAATTAATTTATGTTCATGGTGACCTATTTCGACTTTGTTATGACCAACAACAAAAAAAAGGAAACGAGAAAAAAAAAATATGAATTTACATGCTGTGAGTACAAACATGCACACTGAGTGACCTGCATGAACAAATCAGGGGATAAATCAGTGAATACAAATTGGATAAGGAGCAATAACGTCTCACTGTTTCCCTTTAAGTTAGAACCTGAGCCTGACTCAGCCTCTTTCTCCTCATCCTGCTGAGAGCAAATCAGTCCACAGCTCAAGACTCACACAGACAAGTGTACTTACACACACACACACTTACCCAAGAAAGCACACACACACACACACATACACAGCAAAATGGAGCAGCAGTGCAGTAAGGCCCTGCAGCTGTAACTCTATTCACTGTGCAAATATGAAGAATACAATCCCCCTGTATTCTCCCATTCAAAGCTTCAGCAGGCAGGAGTGTACACATGTCCGACGACAGCCACAAAGAGAACTTGCGGGTCACGAAGGACTGATGCGGCTCTGTGAAAACTATTTCAGTCACGATATTTTACTCCTCACAAGCAGCGTAAACTGAATCTGCAGAGAGAAGTGATTTCACTGCTCTGTGAACTCATTGTTGTTTCACACTAGAATAAAGGTTGAGATGGAAATCACCATTTTCTTCAGGCAAGTCTGATAACTATCAGCCAGCATGGCAAAAAAAAAAAAAGGCTGAAAGGAAAGCAAAGAAAGGAAGACACACACACACACACACACACACACAGAGAGATTTATTATCAAATCCCAGCCTCAAAAAGCGACTAAATTGAGGCTCACCTGCGCTGTATCCATGCTAAGCCACTCAGCCAGTTGAGTGGCAGTAGACACATTCCTATTAGAGTCTAATGAAGCTATCTGTTCATGTCAGATAATAGCAGCTCAGCATCCAGGGCCATTGCTTCCAATTTACATTTCTCAACGAGCCGAGCCCACCACTCAAATTGAGCCGAGCGGGGGAATTTGAGAGCAGAAAATTAGATGGCTCTCATATCGCAGGAGGAAAAAGCCCCCTCCAGCTGCAGTTGGCTGGGGAAATCAGCACCCACACACGCACACACACACACACACCATTACAGAACATGCATAAACACTCAGGCTGTGCGCTGCTTCAAAAAAAAAAAAAAAAAAAGAAAACCCACAGAATCGCACCAAAGGATGTAGCCCGGTCCAAGAAACAAAGAGGAGTAAACACACAAATATATGCACCAAAAATGATGCACGCACATTCACACTTACACACATACAGTATATGCACGTACCCACACACACCACATACTGTATGCATACACTCTTGAGATGCTCACAAAAACATGCACATATTCCCGCACATGCGCACAGAAGCAGGCACAAAATAAGAGCAAACACAAACATTTGCTGACAGTCTTTCTTACTCTCGCTCTCTCTCTCTCTCTCTCGCTGGCTCTCTCCCTCACACACACACACACACACACACACACACACACACACACACACACACACACAGTCAGTTAGCAAGCTAGCGTCAGCCAAGCATATAGCCCCTGCCCCATCAGGGAGTGTCTCTAAACGGGAACTAGGAGTATTAATAGCAAACTGAGCCAGCCTGTCTGGGAGGGAGCAAAACATCACAGAGGTAGAAACAGGTGAATCAATATATAACACATACGTGGGCCACCATCCCACACACATAAACCAACCCTGGCTAAACGGTGGAAGACACAGCGCCACAGGCAACCATGAGTCCTGCAGTTTTCTATGATAAACTGATGGGAATACTGCACCATCCAGCCAGTGAACCCAATGAGCACCTTGCAAATGCAGTTTAAGACCACGGCCATGTGGCATTAATTCTCATTTTGTCATTTGCTAGTGACCTAGTATCGCTTGGCACAGCATATGTTGAAATATTAACATGAAACACTGGAGCACAGACCACGGGGTGCCTATTTTGATGTCTATGTTCTCATAATTTAACAGCTAAGTTAACCATTATGACTGTCTGGGCAAACTTTAAATCAATACTCCCATAATTTTCCCTCACTGCCTGGCACTCAGCAACACGCCCCCAGTAAAACACGATGAAAGAAACTGGTTCCCAGCAGATATACAAGGAAATTTAATCCTCAGCCAGAGACACAATTAAAATGTCTTTCACTCGATGAGTGGAAGGAAAAGCTGTCAGTCAGAGATGCTGGCATAGAATAGAATAGAATAGAATAGAATAGCTGGACATGGGCATGCTCTTCTAACATCTCCCATCTAACACAGTGGATGGGGCTTCGTGTTTGCAGCCTGGCTGTGAGCATGTGAAGGCTGGCAGGCCGCAGTGCAGGCAAAGCAAGGCGACTTGTGTCTGTGTTAAAGGGTGAAGTGTTCACCTCCCATTATGAATTATTCAAGTGCAGAGTCGCTCTGTCTGATGTTGCTGCTGCTTGCCCAACCCCTCTGCCCCCATTCTTCTTTCTTTCTTTTCTTTTCTTTTCTTTCTTCTTATACCTTATACTTATATGCCTTGTATATACACACTTCAACACTTTAACACTCACAGAAAGGCAAACAGTACTCCTGCACAGAGAGGCTACTCTATAATCTTATATCTCTACATATAAACCTAAACGTGCTATCACAGACACAGACACACAAAACACCTTGATCAGAACTCTGAGGCCTGGGCCGCCTGCTGTTACACTGAGGATGCCACTGATCCTTGGCTCAATGTTTGGCCAAGACACACAAATAAATATAGGCCTACAGTATATGTAGAGAAAGGGGTTGGGGTTGGGGTGGGGTGGTGTTTTTAAAGGAGGGTCATGTGAAAGCACATTTCCAGCACCTTGAGAGGTACCATCGCTCACAAACGCCCATTCCTCCCAGTGGGACTGCTGCGCCGGGCTCTCCGGGCCAAGCCTCCCGACCGCCGGCTAAAAATATCAGAGGCCTCCCGATGCCCCGCAGCGGGCCAACGTCACACCACGCCGCGAGACACACTCACCACAGCAAAAAAAAAAAAAAAACAGCTAACAACTTTTTTTTTCTTTTTTTTTCGATTAAATGTGTAAAAAAACAAAAAAAACTAACAATATCTCATATCGCATACTTGCCCAAAGTTGAAATGAATCATCGCCTCTAAATGATATTCTCGGGGATTTTTCTCTGTATTTCCATCAACTCTTCCCAAAAGTTTTAAACAGGGTCATTGCGACCTAATGAAAGCCACACAGTAGAAATGCTATTATTAAAAAAAAATGATGGTGGAGGCACAGAGCCGAGAGGGGGGTATTAGACTGAAGGAGCTATAACTAGACTTCTGGTCTCCTTATAAATGTGGAGGGAGATTATAAAATAGGAACATACGTTTTCTATCGTCCCGTTCAAGTTGAGGTTTTGTTTTCCCTGAAAAAAAAAAATTCTCTACAATCAGTAAGTAGTTGATGCATTTATTAGCCTACTCTATGAGTCTGTGATTAATGAGGCCTTTGATTCATTTCCTAATTTACTAATAGCTTTCATGTAATCTCTCTTCGCGAATTTGCAGCAGATCATTTTATATGACCATCGATTTGAAAGTTCACACAGAGCCACTGACCAGCTCTCGATCTTCTTTCATAATCTGCTGCGCGCCTGCAGGCTAGATCTGACCCCCGGCAGCCTGTTCATATGAAAATAAAAATAAAAAACTTTATTTGATTTGGCTTATTCTTCACTCATGTGAACTCTGACCTACAGTGGAGCAAAATGACCTGAAGAGTGAGGCTTTGTGATTTGTTTGCCACTGTGTCTAATTCTAAACATGAATATAATTTTCAAGGAGAACACAAGATTCATATAGTTAATCAATCCAAGATCTGGTACTTTCCCATCGTCAAAGTCTGCTGGCTGCAATTTTACTCTATTTAAAGAGCCGCGCACACACAACTAGTCTATAGACACAGCCACAGGTCACAGTGTCCGTTTCTTTACTTTGATCCATAAGGACAGAAACTCATCTGAGTTTGTACCCACTTCATGTTCCGCTCCAGTGCTTTTCTCTAACACATATATCTCGACCTGATCTTTCTGACTGTGGCCGGACACTGGAGCCTGAACCGACTGTTGCACGTTTGACTCGGAGAGAATCAGCGCCCTGCAGTCCAAAGTGTGATCTGTGCTCCTATAGATCCATATTCTTTCTGTGTGTGTGTGTGTGTGTGTGTGTGTGTGTGTGTGTGTGTGTGTGTGTGTGTGTGTGTGTGTGTGTGTGTGTGTGTGAGGTGTGTATGAATTCGTGTATAATGTAGACACGCAGCGGCTCGATACTGACACTCTCTGGTAGATTTATGTCTCAGGAAAGGTGAACTGTCTGATTGTCTTTTTCTTATTGACACGTCGCACTTGTACTGTTCCTCCTTGTGAAAGCGGGTTTGAGGATTTCTCTCTCTCTCTGTCTCACACACACACATACACACACACACACACACACACACACACACGCTGAGTTCCTCTCTCCCTCCCTGACACACTCTCCAACACACACACACACACACACACACACACACACACACACACACGCGCACACACACACACACACACACACTCGTACCGGTGGACTACTGTGTGTTTTGTTAGGGTGATGTGTATTTTCTTTGGTCTTGTTTCTTTTCCAGAGCTGAGCGCGCGGATGCTCTGCGTCCATCAGACTTATATTCCAATAAACGACTTTAATCTTCAAGCTGTTACACAATCAGAAAGTTTCTCAGGGTAAAATAAAGATTTGCAGCACAGGCCTGGTTGACCTTGACTCTGCTTCTCACGGAATGGCACATTTCTCCCGATTTCCGATTCATGCGTTCATATAGCTTACCACAAATTAAACCTACTGATCTCTGGTACAGCAGGAAACAGTCTACGTGGCGCACAAAAAGAAGAAAATGCAAACAGGGTATTTAAAAAAAAAAAAAAAAAAAAAAAATCTGATTATTGTTCTACATTCAACAAACCTTTTCGTTCAAAAGAAATAAGCTTTTACATTTTAACTTTTCAATGGAACTTTTTAGGCAAAGTAACTTATGAGTTGGGGAGGAAATCCGGTCCAGGTTCACACACTAAACAGAAAAGAAGCCAGGCTTCAGAGGTGCGGTTGTTGGTCATTTCAGTTACAGGAGTCCTCGTCTGTGTAGATAACAGATAAAATGAAGGGAAGCAGCACAACCACGGTTTGTATAATGTCGCCATTAGATTAGGGCTGATCCTTTGACCTGGCCCTATACACCCAAACTTTCCTAACTCGTCCCATATCAGGATGAGTGACTTGTGACATACTACTTTTTTTTCTTTTTTTTTTTCTTTTTTACAGTCACCGGCTGCAGAAGGATCAGAAACATGCGTTTGTGCATTTAGCACTTAACTTGTCTGCAAACATTTAATTACTGTAGAGTAGATTACAGTCGCCACGAAGGATCGCTAAGATCCGTTTAATCACTTTATAAGCATTAAGGTTTAAATCACTCTAATTCAACGACATTAGGGAACTATCAGTGTATCCATACACTGTACTCTGACTAGTATTTTATTTGTTCGTTACATTTTTTTTTTTACACGGGATATTGTGATCTCTCAAACCATGTCCCTTTGGACAGTGTGACCCAAATCTTCACTCAAATGTATTTTAACCCTGTGTCAGCTACAAAACACTTCAACCTCAACACGTATTTATAGGGCGTAAAAAGTGGCAATATTTTGGAAAAAATAAAAATAAAAATAAGGAAGTTAAACAAATCTTAAAGTAAAAAGGAGGAGAGAGCTGAACTTGTTTCCAGCGCTGTTTCACATGTTTGGAGAAGTGACTGTGCTGCTGAGAGTGAACCGCTCTGTCTCATTCTGCCGATTTTCAAAATAAAGAAGTGAGCGAAACTTGCAGTGGAAATAAGTGAATTTCTCTCGTCTGCACCGCCGTCATTTATTTCATCCGTTTAACGAAACATCGCATTTAAATATATGTCCCTATAAAAACACAACCATGAAACCATGACACGACTCGTGAGATGGACAGTTTACGACATCTCCACTGTGGCATACAAGTCAACTGCTTTGGTTTTATTCAGGTCATCTTCTATTGTGCTCATCTTCTATTTATCGCCTTTAAGTCGGTGCGACTGTGAGCACTAGAACTGGGGCGTCTACCCCAAACGGATTCTTGGATTAAACAGATCGACGCGAGCCCCTCATGGAAACACAGACAGCGGAGTTTCTTTACATCTTTTCGCCGCGTAATAACTCCGCAATATGCGCTTTGGGAGCTGCCGCCATCGCTCAGTTCATTCCAATTTAAACAACTATTAACCGCCCGTTCGTGACATCCGAAACGAGGCTACCTTGTCTGGACCTATTTTCCAAGTTCACTATCTAATTACTGCGTGTTGGTGATCAGACCTCGGCGCTCAGTGATCCTCAGTGTCACCTTCATGCGCTTTGGATCATCTTGTTATTGTTATCACTGGAATTTGGACAGTAGCAAGTCCGCGGCGAGCGCACAGCGCTGGCCCCGATGTGTGCCGTAGCGCACCGTTCACAAAAACACACACAGATGAGAGCGCGCGCACACACACACACACATACACACACACACATACACATACACATACACATAAACACACACATGTCCTGAGCCTGAGAGTTCCCTTACCTTCATTGGGAGGGTAGATGATGGCAAACGCAGGAATAACGCAGGACAATAAAAGAGGTAAAATGAAAAGGAGTGATCGCGGATTGCAATCCATGGCGGCGGATCAGAGGTACATAACTCCATGAAGCCACTGACTGATCTGAGAGCGTCTTCTCCCCACTCAGCTTTCTCCCTCTCTCTTGCTCCGTCTCCCTCCGGTTGGAGCAGTTTTCCGCTGGGTCCTACAGAGTCTGACAGACAGCAAAACACAGCCCGCAAGTTCACCACAGGTCAGTTTAGTTCCTCTACCACGGGCGTCTTCTTGACGTGAGTGACAAACTCAGCTATTCAGCATATTTTACTGCCTGGGTCAATTCAAAAGTGTAATTTGAATCACTGAAATAGAAAGCAGAGGCTGAGAGAAATATTAGAAATCTATCTGGGAACAAAGGGTAATACCATATGCTCCTGTGACCTCCTACTGTAATAATTCAATCACATTTACCAACTTTCTTTCCACTTACTGCATTTCTCTGCTTTATTCTCCCAGGAAGTTAGTTAAATAATAAAGTGATATGGTTTGGTTATTAAAAGGAAATATGTGACCTGCTGGTATATCAGAGTATGACTTGGGCTTTATTTGGCCCAGTAAAAGTAGCCTCCAGCAGCTGAATCCAGCATCTACAGACCTTTGTTCCAACAAGCCAGTGTAAATCAAATGTACTTTCTTTAATTTATTTTTTCAAACAACACTGTAGAACAGCCAAGCAGAACCCGGTGTTTTTAATAAAACAGCCAAAGGTGGCCTGTGATTTTGGTTCATGCATAAGGAACGACTTGGTTTTATCTGGAACAACCAACATTGCCCACTTGCTTTAAATCTAAAAACTGGACCAGCCAACAGGATCCTGTCATGTTTAATGCGGACTTTGGAAGAGCCGGGAGCGACATGTTTATAACCTTTTTTTTGGATTCAATAGAACTGCGTTGTTTGTTTTATTTTACAATGAGTTTCTGAAAGGCATACAGGAAAATATAACGTATGAAAACAATTGTTTTTGTTTTTTTTCCCCCTATTAGCTGTTCCACTTCATGGCTTATTAAAAGCACAGACTGAACTCATATTTAAACTTGTTTTTATGTTTTTCTTTTCTTTTTTGTTCATTTTTATAACTACTTCACATATTATTCACATTAAAGTACAAGATACAATCAATAACCTACCTATCAAAAAAACAAAAAACAAAAAAAAACCAACATTTTGTTCCTGTTTTCTGTGTTATAATGATTGCCAACCAAAAGACAAAGTTTTATTTATTGGTGTGTGACTGGACGTATGATGTGTTTGTATTTGGGCTCACTGTGTGCATTTTTCTGTGAGGGCCATTAGGGGCCCCTGATACCACAATACTTGATCCACGCTGAAAGGCTGGGGTGGCAGAGTAACGCCAGGGCCCTCTCTGAGATGCCAGCTGTTGTGGTGGGGGGTTGGGGGCTGGAGGTTGGGAAGGCATCTGACGTATGTGAAAAAGTTAAACAACACAGCACACACATAGAGGCCAACAGCCCAGCTACACGTGCATTCGTAGAAACTGTAACGAAATTGAAATCACTTTAGAATTTCCTGAATGTAGTCTATAATAAGTCGCAGCAGAGGGTCTCGCTCTGAGAGTAATTTCTGTTGCAATAAAAAATAGCTTTTTTTGTGATTAAAAAAAAAAAAAAAAAAACTTATTTACTAAGCATATTTTAATGTTTGGCATATTTCCACATCTTTTAAAAACTGAAGGTGATGCCAAAAGTCAAAATGGAACATTGTTTGTTTAACTAATGCTAATGTTATGCTCTCACTGAATGAACTTAATGACCTATTTCTTTTTTTCTCTTTTTTTTTTTTTATAGAGGAAGAACAATTATTCAGACCATTAGAACATGGTAGGAAGCATGGCTAAACTTGTGGCAATGTGTCTACGACTATGCAAATTACATACTACATTTTGAAAAATTGCTACATGTGTGGAGCTTTGCTTTCACACGCTACTGCATTTTCAGGAGAAATTCTTTTATTTTATTTTATTATTTGTCATGCTCAGTATATTATGCAGCTGGCAGTGCACTCAGAAGTCCTTTAAAATTAACTGAGGTGTTTTTTTTTGTTTTTTTTTTACAGTGCATTTAATGTAGCTATTTCAGAACAAATGACTGAACAGCAAACTCAGAGCCGTGTCTTAACTCTGAGAGATTTACGAGTTTCAGGTTGTCAATGGATACGGTGAATAATGATGCCAGGAGGTCTCCGGCCACATTATTAAGTGACTGTGGCATGTGGATTTACAGCAGATTTTAGACGTGCCAGCCTCCATCATACATCATCTTCTACATCCCACTAATTCACTTATTACACAGTGAAATAGATTGCCCCACAGCTAACAATCAATCCAAAGGCTGCTTGTTCTGGACTCGCAGTTTACATGTATGAGGATTTAGTTTCAATGAGGAACTTTCTGAACAAACGACTGGATTTATTTTTACATACTGTGCAACATATTCATGGGACAATGATAGAATTGTGCATGAACCGGATTTTGAAATGAAAATCAGGCATTCAGGAATTATCTGCTTCATTTAATCTTAATTTGAATAATATTACGCTTTACTTACACTTTTACTTGAAAACTAAACAATTAAAAGATGCAAATTGAAGTTGAAATGAGACTGAATGTCCCCAGATTAAAATATTTGCAGCAATACAGTAAAGAAGAATGACAGCCAACGAAGAAAAAAAAAAAGAGATTACAAGCATTGTGGATAAGACAGATATAGTGAATGTAAATTATTATATGGCATATTTAGGAACTTCATGCTGACAATCAAACATAATCAGTAGTAATTGTTTTCATTTGGTTGTCTGAGAAGCACTGTCACTGTGTTTTTAGACAATAAACCTGCAAGTTAGTTCAGACTAATTGCTGAAAATCTGTTTCTGATTGTGGTGAATTGGAAAAATGCGATGGGTCCCTCCCGTCTATCCACTCCAACATTTTTCCCCTCTTCTCAATGAGCGCTTGTCCATTCTTGAACTCAGGCCAGTGGAACAATCCAGTATGAGATGGAGGAAAATATTGATTTAGAGCTGCAATTGTAAGTCATGATGTGTCCTGACATGGCTGTATGGCGCTCCAAACTCACAGAGCAGATGTTGTTTAGGAGCAGCTTTGAAACTGCCAGGGCCTGGCCTCTTTACACTATAACACACAAACAAACAAACAAACAGATAGGCTGACTGTGTTTACTGCTTGCTGTCAGTACCCTCTTCCTCCCTGTGGTTCTGAAACGGCACATTCCTCCATACTCGCAGCATACAGAAGGAGGAGAAGCCAGCGGGCTGCTGGCATGTAACTCTATCCCCCCACACCAAACATCATACCAGAGACGCTTTCTTACCATTGCCAGCACCACCGCTCTTCAGCCTTTTCCCTTGTCCTTTTATTTTCTTACAGCACTACAGGGGATTCTAAAACTGAAGAAAACTGCACCGGCCTGCTTACTGTTTTCATTATGGCACAATTATAGGACTATTTTTTTTTTATACCCATGTGTATCATAACAAAACTACAACCTTTTTTTTGTGTTTATTCAGGAAGAATAATAATAATTCTTATAATACTAATATTTCAGTCATACAGTACCATTTGTTCCTTTTGTTCCAAGGAACTGAATAAACACATGGTGTTTATTTGGGTCTACTGAAAGCACCACGCTGCTGCACACAATATATTCAGTGCCATTTAGTAGAGACAGTTCTGTTTATCTTCCTTCAAGGAATTCAGAGATATTGTCAAATAGATTAAAAGCAGTGAAAGTTGGTGCCTTTTTTTTTTCCCCCACACATTTGCAACCGATTTCAGGTCCAAGTTTGTGATTTATCGTCAGGCAGAGGGAGCGGGTTTGAAACAGACGCTAACATCATCGTCACACAAGAAGTGTTTATTCTTATCTTATGAGGAATGTGTCTAGTTGAGCCAGTCTGTTTACACAGAGAAATCAAGTGCCTCTCTATATCCTGTATTTGCACCAATGATTAATTGGGTTATGGTCCATGTGGCGAAGTCTCCCTCTCATCCTCAGAGAGGCAAGTGGGAGGCTGCTCTGATAGGATGGACTGACCTGCCATACCAGGGTCCTGTGAGACAGAGCTGGGCCTCCTTCCCACTACGAACAACTCTCTCTCCCTCTCTCTCTCCCTTTTTTCCACATTCAGCCACGATCATGTCCCATCATGCTGCTGGTGCAGTGGGAAGAGGCTGGCAGGGAGGAGAGTATGAAGCAGGCTGGGAGTAGATTTTTGTGTTTGCTATGGCCTTTTTTTTTTTTAATACAAAAGATGGGATCATTGCCCACTGTTAAAAGAATGGACTACACCCCTCTATTTAAATGATTTTACTCAATAAAACCTGGAAAAAACAACATGCCCTTAACTTACTTCTTAGTTTCCTGTGAAATGTGGTTTAAGATACTTTTTTTTTTTTTTCTGAAAGTTTTTTTTCCGCCTTGGCAAGAGCATTGGTCAAAACTATGGTCACACACGTGTCGGTGTGAGTGACAGCAGTGTAAGCAGATGGTTGTGTTATTCCCTGAGAAAAGCAGCAACATGGCAGAACGAAACCTAGCGCCAGAAACACTATTGAAATGTTTTACTTAAACAGATGTACAAGTACTACAGCAAAATAAATCATTACTGTATTCAAAATGCTGCTCAAGTAGAAGTAGAGCAGAGTCCAGTATCATGACATGAAAGTTTTTTTTTTTTGGAGTGGTCTCTGCCTGAAAATGGTAAACCTCACATACCTCCATCTTGGTGCTCTGCATTTATTGCTGTAGTGTTTTTGTGTTACACATTATCAAGATCACTCCTTAGTTAAACAGCGCTTTTCTTTGTCTGCTCGGCCGGGGCGGACATTGTTGCTCATGGGCACCAACCAGTTCAAACTAGTTAACCAGCAAAATGCCAGACACGTAACTTCCCCACATCCCAAAGAGGCTTTTCCTGGGAAAGACTGACGAGAAGAACAAAGCCTTCATGAGGTTGTTAAAGGTTCCACCACGACTTCCTTACATCTACAGTTAGTGACAGAACGG